AGTACTAATAGTAGTACTGTATTAATAGTATACTAGTACGACGTTACCTCGAGTATTAATACCGGTAGGACCGGGGTAGTACCACGTGTAGAGTACAGTAGTACAATGCGACAACACGAGTCGAGTAGACTGATTGGCCTACAGTATCTACTTCGAGCTTCGATTAATTCGACAATCAATAGCATTAAAGTTGGTTCATGTCAGGCTAAGATGCCCCGTCGGTGTCTATTGATCGTAAAGCCCCAAGTCACGGAGCATGGGTATGGAACTACAGGGAATTTAAGCCACACCGAAGTTCGTCTAAACATTGCTTTACACATCCGATCGAAATCATGTATTTCACAGTCAAAGCGGTCGGTTTGATTTGTCAAAATAATCGAATTTAGCATATCAGACTTCAACATTTACTACTTCGAAGCATTACTGTCTTACTCTTAATACAGTACAGTAGTACTATACTACTGATACATACTACGTAGTACTTCGTATAAGCGTTGATATTAATACTACGTACTCCACGGACTATTTATACTATGAGTATTGATATTCCTATTAATACTACCGTAGTACGTAGTATTAATCATACGTACTCCACGTATTAATACTTTTACGTAGTACTACTCCGTCCCAAATTACCTCCACGTTTCAACTTTGATTCACCTCAAAATTTGACTCATTTACCCAATTTCTACGAAATTTGTACCAATGAGAAGCTGGGAATTCGATGTTTTGCTTGCTCGTATTTATATTACAGGTTTGTTGGATAATGTGACACTATCGTCAAAATAATATTGCTCATTGCTCCTCAGTGCAGAATTAAAATCACTCACTGGACTTGATTAATGTATGGTCGGTCTAATGGGTAACAATATTCATATACAGAGGTAATATAAACGCTATAATATAATTCGCCTATTTGAGTACTCATCGCCTTGGTTCTGCTTGAGTCAGGCAGACATCCCTGCCATAACCATGGTGGCAGTCCTCGTCCTCTATATCGACAATGCTCGTGTAAGTAGTTTGGGTCAATTGGCTCGACCACTTGCTTGTTTACAAGAGCCAGTTCACGCTACACAAAGATCATCAGTCTGATTTAGGACAAATTTAAATAAATCCTCTTAATAAAAATGATTTTGTGGCAAAACTTGAGGAGTACTCTGAGTACATATGTACAGTAAGTATCATACAGTAAGTACTGTACTATACTGGTACTGAAGTACTTACTTGGAGTTATCGTGATTTTTTTTCGAAGTACTTTTTGCAATTTTGACTTGAGCTTTGTATGCATCAATGAAAGCATGTTTTGAGCCACTTGGAATTCAGCACAGTACTGATGCGAGACCTCGTGCTGATCCCTGCGTCAGCGGCCAAGCGGCACCGCCTTGAGCCGTTCAAGTCGAAGAGCTGCGCCAACGAGATCGTAGACCAGGTACACGTCTCTCTCTCCTTTCCATCTTCCCTGCGCACCCCTCATCATCGTCCGTGACCACAGGAAGTCGAGTTGCTCGGATGTGGGTACTTTCACACGCGTATGGCCATGTATGTATGCTCCCATTCAAGCATCGAAACAACTCCATCGACCGACTCACTTGTCTTGTTCCAGAATCCTTGGGCTTGGGAACTCTGCCGACGCCGTGGAAATCCTGTCCATGGGGTACATTCTCGGGTCATTCTCGGAGCCGATCCCGGCATGGGAGTCGAGCCTCGTGACGTCGGCCGTGTTCCTCGGCATGCTCTTCGGAGGCATCATCGGCACCGTGATGGGCGACAAGTATGGCCGCCGCGTCCTCATGATCGTGTGCCTGGCCGTGAATGGCGTGTCCGGACTGTGCGCCGCCGCGAGCCCGACGCTCGTGTGGATGAGTTTCTTCCGCTTCGTGGCCGGAGTGGGCATCGGAGGGATCGCGCCCATGCTGTTCGCAGTGTGCTTGGAGCACGTGCCGGCGTCTGCCCGGGGCAAGTACATTACGATCATCTCTGCGTTTTGGATGTTGGTACGGAACCTCTCTACCTCTTGCTTCAAAGCTTAGGTATCTATCACTGCTGTTAGGGATCGATTTTCACGGCCGTGTTGGCGTGGGTGATGCTGGGCTGCTATTGGGGTACCTATATATATATATATATGAATGAAAATCGATATATTGTGAATTTGCTATAAACTTCAGAAATTCGCGTGGTTTTGTAATCAATATTGAATCACGCTGGAAGTTCTGATTGGCTGAATATACTTATCATTTCTGTAAGCGCCAATCAAATCTACTCAATATTGGATTAGCCAATAACATCGATTCGTGATTATTCGATGAGATTTGATTCGGCGGGGTCTGGACATTTGTACCGAATCCACAATATATATATATATATCGACTATTTAAGTAAAAATTGATATTTCAACCCAACATTGTTAGTTCTCGGTTGATATCCGACGAATCCATCATCGATCGAGTTTTTGTCCTGAAATTTGTATGTGATTTGAGCCCTTCACCGTATAATTTCATTCCCACCGGAATATTGTTGTTTGATTGGGTACGTTTATCGAGTGTTGCGGGTTGTGATTGGTCAATTGATTATCTGCCGATTTGGCATTTCGAATAATCGGCACGGCTGCTCCATATTATTTATTCATACACTTAATATATATAAAACTAACTCTACCATACCGTACCTCACCTTCTCACCTTGTGTTTGGAAAGGCACGGATATCCGCATCATGAATGTGTCGTGGCGAGTGTTTAGCCTAGCAGCGTCGCTACCAGCATTTATTTCGTGCGCGCTCATCTATTTGTATGTCCCTGAGAGCCCTCGTTTCCTCGTCGCAAAGGGCAAATACCAGCAAGCTTCCGACACCCTCACCTTGATCTACGCAATCAACGGCCGGTCCCGGCTGCCCGATTTCAGGTATTCATTTATCTCTCATTTATCTATCATTTATGCAAGATATTTCATTTATATCTCCTTTATGTTTCATTTATCACTCATTTATGTAGTGTATTTCATGTATCTCTCCTTTATGTAATGTATTTCATTTATCTCTCATTTATTATGCACTGTATTTCATGTATCACTCATTTATGCTTCATTTATAACTCATTTATGATTCATTTATTCATCCATTTGTTTCACACTATAGATGATGGATTTGGTGTTTCGAGTACGTGGCAACATTCCCATGTGTGGTCAAGTAGACGTCTATCATCATAGTGTTGAGGCATATATACTATGAATAGTATCCAACGATCGATGTAAACTCCAGATAGGTATGTATATATATATATATATATATATATATATATATATATATCCCCAAGCTTGGATTGTACTGTATGATCATCGTGATTAGTCTACAGTATTTCATTCAAATTCGAAAATGAATCATAAAGTCTACAATTTCGTACTAGTATTGTCAAATCGATTCGAAAACTGGAGCTCTCAGCAGCATCGAATGTCTTAAGAGAATAATGGATTAAAGAACCTCCTAAGCCAATCAAATCACGTTCTGGTAAATTACAGCCAATCGAAACTCTAAATATACTACTAATCGTTGTATAGTATATATAGTTTGTACAAGCTTCAATGGGATCAAATGGATTCGAATTTGGACTCCAAATTAATTGCACAATATTAACAGTCGCTTTGAATAGCGGCGGTGACGATCACCAAGTTCCAAGCCGTCCCAGCGAATCGCTGCAATGGACCGATCGATTTCTGCTCATGTTCGACTCGTCTGCATCCGTTGTAAACTTAAAGTTTACGACGCTCGTGCTGCTCTCGGCTACGTTTTGCCTCAGCTTTGGTACGCAATTAGTATATATTTTCGATAAAACTCGGATTTATCATCGGCGTCATCTTTAGTACCTTTCAACACGAGAGGCACATCAAGTAGTACTATGGATTGTTGTTTGACTGAGTCTTATGTGAATGCTATAGAGTCGTGTATTTCTCAGTGTGTAGTACGTCCAGTTTAAGGGTCATTATGCCTTGTTGGAGTCTCATGGTGCCTTATTTCAGTGTTACTATGCCTTATTCGAGTGTCATTGTGCCTTATGCGAGTCGAAATCTCCACGTGCCTTGTTTAAATGTCACTGCGCCTAAGTCAAGTGTCACTGTATCCTGTATTTCATTGTCTCTGCGTCCTATTTAAGTGTCAGTATACCTTATTAAAGTGCCAGTGTGCCTTATTAACGTGCCAGTGTGCCTTATTAAAGTGTCATTGATCCTTATTAAAGTGCCAGTGTGCCTTATTCGAGTGTCAATGTGCCGAATTGAAGGTTGTTATCACACAGGATCGTATGGGATTTCAACCTGGGTCACGCGGGTATTTCAATCGACAAACGTCCACAACCCATATGCCAACGACATTTTGTACGCGGCCGCAGCTTTGCCGGGCAACGTCATTGGGTAATAATATATATATATATATATAAATAAAAATAAATGTCTAGACTGTACTTGGTGGACTCGTGGGGTCGCAAGCGTTTGTTTGCATGGACGTTGTTCCTGGCGGCATTGTGTGGACTCCTCTTTGCCGGGAACGCAGGGGACAACTCGACGTTTACTGTGGGCATTTGCTGCTTGTTTCAGTGCGCGACGACCATGGCGTGGATTGGCGTACGTAAAAATATATATATATATATATTGATTTTTGGATGGATAGTACGACGTGCTGTCGGCCGAAGTGTACCCGCTGCATATTCGCGTGTCGGCGCTGTGCTTTTTGAGCTCCATGGGGCGGTTTGGGGCGACGTTGGCGCAGATCGTGAATGGATTTCTCATGGGTCCCCCCGTCCACATCCAAGCGCTTTTGGTCATCACGACTGTGGTCATGGCCATCGGGGGGGGGTCTGTCATGCTGCTGGATGACAACGTGGACGTCCAAGGCGGACTTCAACCCAACCAACCAACCACAGAGTCGCATCGGCTGCTGGCGTAGTAGTTTGTACGTAGGGATTGATTGGACAGGTCGAAGACTAGTACAACGATGCTAGTGTACTACTACTAGTACTACTATACTACTAGTACTACTACGTTGATACAAAAAGCATCGGGTTGGTTGGGTTGTTGGGGGGGGTATGTGTGTGGATGGGTATATATATACTAGTAGTACTACTAGTACTACTAGTAGAAGTATGTACTTACTACCAGGGGATGAAGTGTATTTATTCGGCAACAACTTTGCAACTGGACAGGGGAGAACAGAGGAAGGAGACTGAAACGGACGCTGTTGATGTATTGTATCGTTGAGCATGTTGTTGGTTAAACCAAGCAATGGTAGGATATGTATATAGTATACTGCGTAGTATTACTAGTAGTAATACCGTTGCCAATGGAATGATCGAATAACGGTTAGTGCTATTGCCAAACTTACACCTATTACGTTATATACGATGACTCAATGCACCCAGCCCATCATGCAAAGGACCAAACGTCTAGTAACTTAGTCGAGTTGCAATCTAATACTACTACTAGTACTCCGGAGCTACAGTATCAGTTAACTGAGTTATCCGAGACTATTAATAGTCGCATAAGCTCTGTATTATTGCTGACACTTGGATTGGCTATCCGAATTTCATTTTAGCCAATGATATTGCCGTATTTGCGTCGAAGACGACTTACCGCATCGATGCCATCGACAACGTATCCATGGGTCGACGCAGTGCGGGCCGCCGTGGACGCGAATCCGCACGCGGTACATCGCAAGCGCATGTGTGGCTATGAGTTCCGTCCGGGGGACATGGCCTGGAACTGTCGCCAGTGCCAGAAGGACGAGACGTGCGTGCTGTGCCACGCGTGCTTTTCCGCGTCCCATGCAAACCTGCCGCACCACGACGTCACGTTCTACTACACGCAGCAGGGCACAGGATGCTGCGACTGCGGGGACGACGAAGCGTGGGACCCCGACGGGTTCTGCGCCGAACACAACCCACCCACGGCCGATGGCGCCGACATGGACATCCTCACGTCGGTCCCTCCGGAGTTGCTGGCCACCGCACAGGCCGACGTGGTGCGCGACGTCAACGTGTTGCTTCGTTACGTCCTAGGTCGCCAGCGCGGGTTCCAGCGCGCCCTCACCCCCGAGGTGCCCCTTCCTCTTTGTCATGTCGATGATCTCATGCGATGATAGGACTCCGGTCTGTTCGACCTCTGGCTCCATGTGACCGAGTCCGCCGCCGCTCGGTCCGCACCCGAGAAGCTCACCCTCGTTCAAGGCAGCATGTCTGCCGACAGCGTCTCCCACTGGCTATCAACCCTGGACAGGTCCAACGTGTCCATCTTCGACTCGGGCGATCCCGCGGTGTACGCCGATGTGCTAGCTGTTTTTAGCCGTATCACACAGTGCGCCCTGGCGAGTGATGTGTTGTGTCGATTGGTTGCTCATGAGGTACGCCTACCTCCCGCCAATATATATATATATATATAGTATCTGCTACTACTCTGTCCAAGAAGAATGTTGTTGGATGTGCCAAAATGACTGTCTATGTACTCGTTCGTAATGACGTTGTTTAGGATGACTTGTGTTGGAATTTCAATCACTTGGAGAACCATTATATATCTATCTCTACGCCTCGACGGATATATATATTTATATATAGATCTGCTTATATATATAATATATACATACAGATGATACGACGACGTAGTACATCTATCTGTATATGTACCCATATACTCAAATGAGAATATCGACTCAACTTTATATATATATATGTCATAGCTATATTATATACGGTATCCAAGAAGGTTATTCTTGGTTGTGACAGTCGATTGCGTAACGTTATGACGACTTGTGCTGGACATGAAAACACATTGCTTCAAATATATGGAGAACCATTGTATATTTATATGCGACGGATATATATATACATGCTATATAAATCTGATGATATATATATATATATAAATCTGATGATATATATATATATATAAATCTGATGATATATATATATAAATCTGGTGATATATATATATATAAGTCTGATGATATATATATGTATAAATATGAAGTTATATATATATATATATATAGATCTGCCCATATATATATAAATAGAAATATTAATTCTGCATATATATATGTGACACCAATCCATCTGTATACAAAGCCTCACCAATGATACTATAGATGAGTTCCGTTCATTCCACGGAGCTACTGGGCGAGCTCATCCGTACGGAAGCTTTGCTACCCCAAGCCGAGAGCGCTGCGCTGCACACGCTTATCATGGCCCTCCTTCCCGATCCAGCGTTCAAAGAAGCCTTTGCCATTGCCTTTACTCACTCGTATCGCGCTGTGTTTGCCAAGTACCTCCAAGGCCACGGTATATATAACCAACCCCCTGTTTGAGAGGATGAGTAGTCTGCTAGTATTCCTAGTCTGTGTAATAGTATTATTACTAGTAGTAGGACGGGGATTTCGACATGTAGTACTAGCCTGAATACGAGTAGTAGCACTACTAGTAGTAGTGGTAAGGGGTATTTGTATCATTTTGTAGGCACTCCGGGGCAAACGATCCTGGTGCTGGGGGTGCAATTTCTGAACCGAGCGTCGTTCGTACACAAGTTGGTGGCCGACCATCAGCTTCTGGACGAGTTGCTAGGGGCGTTCGCGTCGTTGGTCGTCGGGGGGGAAAAGTCATCGGCGGCGGACCTGTGCATATTCCAAGGATTCCGCAGCAAAGAAGAGTATGGTGATGATAATATCCATCCATGGGACCAGATGGCCCTCCGGATGCTGCGTACGGATGTCATCCACGGTATGTCTATAGTTGTGTTCAATGTGAATCGACGTCAAACAAATATATATATATATATCGCGTTTGTATGCATAATTGTTGGTCTGGCTCACCGTTCAATTTGATTGGCCAATTTATATTGCAATGTTGAATGCTCTTGATATTTTAGATCCAGATACTTACTTTTGTGCCGATTTGTTCGACATTGCCAATATATCGAGGGCCTATTTATTGGACATCCAGATTCACCCTGTCAGTCGTTTGTATGGTTTGGCAAAACATGCGATATAGTTGGCAACATGTGAATTCTCCAAATTTTGGACCAGACCGAGACTTTTTTCATTACTTTTTTTGGCCGCTTTTGTTGAAATTGCCAAAATATCGCCGAGGTGGCCCTCTTTTTGTTTACACGTAGACTCACTGCAATGGTTACAAATGGAATGTGTCTACATAGAGATGGATGACGTGGCACTTGCCACCACACGACGCCCTCCCTTCATGGTGGACACCCCCCCGTTCACGTCGCACCGATACAATCAAGTGCTCGTGGACTTGAAATACGTGTTCCAAATCCCCCACGATCGCTTTGTGAGTCGATTTGGGCGGCACTTGCGCTGGCTGGGCCAACTCCTAAGCCACCTTCAAGGGATGGGCGCGACCTGTCGCATTCCGCCAGCACATAACCACGTCGCAGTGGACTCTCGCAGTTGGATAGGTGCGTCGTCAGCGTTTAGTGGTCTAGAAGATCACACCGTGTCGTCGACGAGGATGAATATCTTGGTGTACGAGAGCTTCTTTTTGTGGAGATATATATTGTGCATTTCACCCATATTTGGACTTGTGAGTCATTTCACAAACAGCAGTATTCGAATCATCCGTTCGGTCCAATTGAAGCTTGTACAAACTATACTATACAAAGGTTAATATAGATATATATATGGTTTTGTCCAATACGGAGGGACCGAGTCGGTCGAGTCAAACGTACGTTTGTTTGATTGGCAGAAATATTTACCAGAACGTGATTTGATTGGCTTTGGCGGTTGTTCTTTTTCATCCAATAAGGCATTCGATTACTCTGTTGACGGCTCTAGTTTCGAACATCGAGTTGACAATATACTAATGTATGGATATGTGTTGATATCTTGTGCTTGTCAGGTGATAATAACTTTTGTATGGGTGGCAGATATGTATACTCTTGTGTTGTAGCTGTTGAAAGAACGATTTTTCACACATATTGTTGGTGATACTGATGATATGATGCTGCTATGGATTTATTTATATATATATATTGTAGTTGTGTTTTGCTGCCGAGTGGTATGTATTGGAGTGATGATATTGTGGTATATTCGGTACAAATTTCCAGACTTGTTGAATCGAAGAATCACGAATCATCGACGCTATTGGCCAATATCCATTTTTGAGTGGATATATTTGATTGGCTCTTACAGAAAGGACAAGTATAGTCAACCAATCAGAATCCAGTGTGATTCCATATTGATTAGAATTTTGAACATTGTTTATAGCGAATTTACCATATCTCGTGTGTGGTTTTCATAGGATGTACAGTACATATGTTGTTGGCTATTGTTATATTACTATGACGATGAGTACTCGTGTGAAAAATCTCTAATATCCCATTTAATATATATATATATATGGTTGTGGTAGTGTACATTGAACTGGCCACGCTAGTACAAGAGATGATGTCAGCTTTGATCTTGAACGTTGTGACCTTCGACACCAGCGATAGCCAGTCGGCCATCACGGCACTCGTGGGTCCTGTGCTCGAAAGTCTATGCCTTTGGCTTGCAACTACACACTCGTACTTCCCCCCAGACCAACTAGATCGTCCAGTGGGCGACCCAGATGTGGCCGTGGGGGTCCACTTCCCACTGCACCATACATTTGTGTTAATCCTGCGCGCGGCCACCTGCGCGCCAGCCTTGATGGACGCATTCCAGGCCGCGGTGAATGCGACTCTGCCGCACCCCGCTTCCTGCGACAGAGTGGGGAGGTGGCATCGGCTCATGCTGGTCCGCCCCCTGCTCCGTGCGCTCGTGTGGGATGCCCAAGTGCATGTCAATATGTGGCGCCGCAACGGCTTTGGCGTGATCAACCACAGCTTAAACTACGGCGAGCCATTCTACTGCTTCAAATTGCGCGATCTAGACCTCCTCGGAGTGCAATATGCCGTCGCTACGACTGGAATGGACACGATTGTGCCCCTCATACTGGAAGAGTTTGACATTTCGACGTTGCACGTGCCAGGTACAGACAGCGTCAAATATATATATATACATCACGAATTTATTTGTATATATATATATATATCGCGATTTTAGATATATATGTATCACGTTTATATATATCACGATTTTATCTGTATATATTACGATTTTATCTAAATATATATCACAATTTTATCTAAATATATATCACAATTTTATCTAAATATATATCACGATTTTATCTGTATATATCACGATTTTATCTAAATATATATCACGATTTTATCTATATATATCACGATTTTATATATATATTGCGATTTTATATCCTACGTAGTATACTGTACTGTATATGTATATCACGGTTTTATATATGTATTTTTATATATATAAATGGAAAGAATAATAGCGTTGTGCCATGGAGTCGAGAGTTCCCGTACATCCGCATTGCTTGCTATTGTTTACGATTTCTTTCGATGATATTGCTGAGAGCATATTAGTTAACAAAACTGGGTGGTTCAATCATATAGCCCTATCATGTACTACTTACTCCTGCTACCATCACTATCACTTCTGTACAATCCTCACGTTGTTCCCACTCTCGTGTATCTTATAAGATTATTCATTCTAATATTCCCCTAATATATGCTGTCGTTATTAGAGTTTGAGGACTCGATGCTGGCAGAGTGCTTCAAGGTGCTGTGCCAGATTGCAACGGAGCTCCCGCTCGGCACTTCATCTCTGGACAGTCGACTTCGGCGACTGCTGGTGCTGCGTCTGTGCTGCAAGCCAAGCACCCACTCAGAGCTGTTCAAATGTGTGACAGAGTTTTGTGCGGTGCACGAGGTCCAGACTGCGCTCTCGTCGTTGTCGCTTGACGCCGCCGTGAAGACGCTCACCAAGGACTACATCCTCCCCAATCAAAAAGTAGAAATATATATATATTGAAATATGGTATTTTTGAATGCGGATGATATGGATGCAGGTGTATACACTGGACCCGCGCCATTTGGAACTGTACGACGCCACAACCATCCATCTCACTCGAAAACAACACGAAGCGGCGCGGCTAAATCGGCTCGAACACCGCGTGGACACGTTCAAAAAGGATCCGATGCCTTCGACGTACCTACCAGCTGTGCCACCGCCTCTCCACGTCACAGAAGGTATTTATATATATATATATATATTGTGCATTTCACCCAACTTTGGACTTGTGAGGCATTTCGCCAGATAGCATTCGAATCCATTTGATCCAGTTTCAGCTTGTACAAACTATGCAATACAAAGATTAGTATATATATATATGGTTTTGCCCAAAGCGGATGGACTGAGGCAAACGTACATTTGTTTGGATTGGCAGAAATATTTACCAGAACGTGATTTGATTGGCTTAGGCGGTTGTTCTTTTTCATCCAATAAGACATTCGATTACTCTGTTGACAACTCTAGTTTCGAATCAATAAGACTCGATAAGGTCGTATGCGACATCGTTTGGACAAGTGTATACATCGACTGATTTGTGGAGTGTTCAAAGTAGTTTGGTTATTGAAATATATATATATATATATATTCGTTTTGTCATGATATTCTCATGGCGGTTGGCTGAAGCAACCGCCCAAGAATCGCCAGACTTGCCAAATAGAAAGCAAAAGTTTAAGCTTCGTTTGAGCCAATCATATTGCAACCTTCGTTCGGTTTTATCCAATCATAACTGCTGCTTTGCTCGATTCCTTGGTGAAAGCAAACACTACCCACCACATGAATATATGACATCCACCATAACTTCCAGTTGATTGGAGTGTAACACCCCTGGATTTCAGTCCATTTTAACACATACTTTATTTCCTAGTAATACCAGTCAGTATACTTCGAGACTAGTATGCTCAAGTCGAGTACTAGATTCAATCTATCGAATAATCAACCCAATATGTCGTCGTAGGCGATGCCTTGCCCCAGTTTGAAGAGGCGTACTACATGCTTCTCCACCCGAGCATCTGCGCCAAGTTGGCGGGGGTCCTACGGCAGCTGGACGAGGCGACCACCAGCTTAGCCACCATGGCCATACATTTGTTGACGCTGCAATTGTATGCCCTGCGCACGGCCCTGGTACATAACATATATATATATCCATGCATATATATATATATATATATATATTGTGCGCTTTCTGGCAAAATTTGGATATTAGTGTGCTGATTCACCAAGTAATCCATAGGTCGATATTTGTTGCTCTGATTGTTGTTTTTTTTGCATGTAAAAGTTACACAGCCATTCACACCCTATTTCAAGTCCCCCCTGCTTGGATAGTTGCCCGAGTTTGATTGGCCGCTGGATTAATGCTCTGTCTTTTGATTGGTCGGTCGATTTGTGCTTTTTATTCATATCGATTTGTGCTCATTCATATCGATTGAGCGCGCGCACCCCCCACTCCAAACAATTCGAATCCTTATATATATATATAAGGATACAAATTGTCAGTGGATATATATATATATACTGATGATCTTCCGACGTCAATAGGACCACCGAGTGTATGCAGCGTTGGCCAAGTCGTACTTAACATGGCTGGCGTCGGTGCTTCCCAGTCTCGACACTTTAAACCCATGGGCGAGTACAACCCAAGTCCGTTCTCAAGCCGATCACGAGCGCGGCCGACATATTGAGTGGATTTTGCACCAAGTGTCTGCATACCCTGGCTTTCACATGTATGCTCGTTTTCCATCAGACGACGTAGTAGCTAGCCCCCCACCCCCTCCTCTTTCAGCTCGGCATGTGCCACAGCAGCTGGCGCTGGTCCGGATGGAGCAACAACGGGCCCAGTTTTTGGCTAGCTTGGCTACGGATCTTGACGACGACGAAGAGGAGGAGGAGGATGTGACGATGGCGTGGGAGCCGTGTGCCATGTGCCACTTAGCAGATAACGAGGCGACGCTGTGCTTTATTGGGTTTGTGCACTTGTCGGGTCTGAATGTGCCGCCAGTCGACGCGATCAAGAAGACTCCGTGGGAAGACATGCGCAAGGAAGTGCCGCTGACGATGCAGTGCTGCGGCCATTGTGTGCACAGAGGGTGTTGGGATAGCTACTTTGCCACGCAGTTTCAAAAAGTCATTACAGGTATATATATATACTCTCTCTCTCTATATATATAGAGTAAGTAGATATATTGTGGATTGTCCTTGAAGCGAAGAATAGATAGATGAGACTTTTGATGGGGGATATGGAGCGGTGGATGTTTTATCGAGGGTCGGCTGATGTAGTCTGCTGTGCGGCTGCTGCTTCAGCTGCTGCTCATTCGATTCAATACTCCACTCTCGATTGTTTTCATTGCATATATATTGGCCATTATATATATATATTGATATATACTTGCAACTCCGGTTTGGGATGGGTTGGCCTAGCATTACGACCGAATTTATTTTGAAGTTCCTTTGCACACCATGTGATGAAGTATGCACAATTTGTTTAGATATTACGATTGTAGACTTGAATTGTGCGTATTATATTGATTATATGATTATATATATTCACATTGTATATGTCATATCAACGACATATATGGAAGTTGATATGAAATATGAAATATACAATATATCTATTATATCTATTTCATAGCGTTTATGGCGGTTGTGTCTCTAAACATTCTTTTTGTATTCTTTTAATGTGTTTTGATCAGGCGATGGTGTGACACAAGCATGTTTGTTTCCTTTGCATGCTCTTGGCTAGTACTAGTACTACTAGTAGTAGTCTGTCCGAGTAGTAGTAGGATGTACTATAGTAGGGTGCTAGGTTGATAATATGTGTGGGACTCTTATTAGGCGAAGCGTATTTGAATGCCGTGGATGTGAAAAAAGGCGAATTTTTGTGTCCCCAGTGCAAATCCATTTCCAATGTGCTCGTACCCGTGAGTCTCGGCCAAGGGAATTCCTCGTCTGTGGACGTGTCAGCCGACGTGGACTGGGCCACGTGGCTGCAGCCCCCTTCTACTTCTGCCCACGATCCACCAGCTCAGGCCCCTTTGGACGAAGTAAGCGCCATATTATATATCAACAATCAGCCTTGCTGTTGTCGACACTTTATGCTCTTGCTTGTACCCAAACTTTGGCTAATTTTAGTGCAGATTCATCATTACCAAAGTTATCATTCTTTGAACAGCTGACTTTTGTAAATAAAACAAATTGCCCCGTGTCACACACTAAATCGATGTTGGATTGGTGCAAGAGTGAAGATTGATTGGTGACTTGATTATTCGTGTTGTGGGTTTGGATTGGTCGATCTATATATATCGATTCATTTGCCTCGATTGAGCGAGCACCCACACCACTCCAATGCCGAAGAATCGACTTGCATTATCCGTGTATGTGTAGGGACTAGCCAAACTGTGCATGTCCATCCATCGCGTAGCTACTGGGGCGATCGAAAAGGCTCACCCAAGGCGGTATATCGCCACAGCGTGCCACGCCGTGTTCACATCCATGTGGACGGCGGCCATCACAGACATGCCATTGGACAAAATCCGTCCGCTGGCGGCCGCCGCCGCGCACCTGCGGCACCCAGAGCTTTCAGTGCGGGAAATGCTGGCGACTGGCGAGGCGTCCAATTCCAAAGTCGACGCGCTCGTGGATACGCACACGCTGACGCAAGTGCAGAGGACGTGGCACTCTGTGGTGGGAGCCAAACCGCTCTTGTTGCACGACCTGGGCTCGGTAGGTTGGTGTCTAGAGGATATATATATATATATATATATACGGACAAGTCGTCTGGCGGATCAGAGCGATATGTATATATATATATATTGTGTTGATGGTTATATATGTATATGTCTTGTTGATGGTTGTAGTATATATATATGTCTTGTTATGGTTGGAGTAGACAGACGTAAGGATTAAAAAGTAGTAGACATGGTTATTGGTCTATGAGTGTAGATTGTTTTGGATGGTCTTGGATATGTATATATACAATAGAGAGAGGGAGAGTGGTTGACATATATGATATATATATAATATATTTATTAATTATTCGATCATATGCACTAGCGTATTCGGATACCAGTATATATTCATATGGATTGGTCCATGACACGAGTAATATATATATATTATATATGTACATATATTGATTTGTCGATGAAACTAGTGTATTAGAGGAGTATAATACTTGTAGGTTGGTGTATTGGATATATGATATACTAGAGATATGATATCATTGTCCGGTTGTAAACTGGGTCGAGTATATATATATATATATTATGGGTGTAGTGCAAAGTGATGGATATATGAATACAACAATCATGTGCATATATATATATCCCCAATATAGATTGCCGCGCGGGGGGCATTGTTGAGTGAGAATGCAATGGACGCCGTGCGCTCGGTGCAGCTGGTGGCGCTGGCTTTTGTCGTGCAGAGTACGCTGTGGTTGCTGTCGAGTGCTCTGCCCCCCCTCGATGATGTCGACGAGGACGCGACCAGCTGGTTCCTTGGCGAGTGGTGCGATGGCGCGTCCAAAGACGTGGGGGTCGCAGTGTTGCGTGGGCTGGTGCAGGCCTCAGATCTGTCGATGGTGTCGGACCAACACTCACTGCTCGACAGAGTGGCGGTCGAGTGCCGGCCGTTTTGCGACCAAGCGTGGGCGATGCTGTCTACCGTCACATCGTCCCCCGCCTCGTCGTGGCTTTCGCTCCCGCGGCTGCCGGATGCTCTGGTCAAGGTTGTGCACACGTGGGTGCATACGTTTGAAACCACGTACGTCGTCCTGGAGACTACTAGTTGATACTAGCTACTAGCTACTAGAAGCTACTAGCCACCTTGTGTGTTCCTACTATATGTATATCCACCCATTTCACGACATCTTGCGTCGTTGGAACGACTGTGGGGTATCTATCATGTGTATTTGGATGTTTTCTGTGTGGATGATCTTGATTGATTGTTTTCCGAATATCCAATATATATATATATATATATTCGTTCCATACCAAGTACCTCGCTCACATTCCATGATATATATTTATATACATTGGATTGCGGAACAAAATATATAAAATCTCACGCAGCCGTATCTACCAAACCTCGCAAATATATATATCTATTGTATGGATGTATATATAAATTGTGATTGGTATTTCTAGATACGACACCATGGCCGACCCCCAAGGAGTGTTGGCCCAGTGGCGCCTCAAACAAAACTGCGGACCGTCGTGGAAAAGTGTGCTGCAGCAAGATCTGAACGCCGCTCATGTCCCGCTAAGTACGCTCTGGTATCGCCAGCGCACGCACTTTATGCGGCACCTCCCAACCGCATTTAACGCTCTCTACTTGGACTTGACCAAGCAAGTGTGCCCAGCATGCCGATTGTTCCCAGCGCGTCCGGCAGTATGTTTAATCTGCGGAGGCGTGCTGTGTGCCGCGTCGTCGTGCAAATCCATCTCCCCCATGTCCGTCTCGGGCGCGTGTATGTATATATATATATATATACGTCGCATGTATATATATCTATATATATATATGCGACGGTGTAGTTTTTGGCTGTTTTATATATGTGGAGGCTAGTACCATCGCCTTTGTGAGTACGAGTTTGTAGTCATTGTACAGTATATTAAAAGGGTTTAAAGGGTTTTTTTACGCTTGAAGGCAGAGTTCGGGATACCACTGAAAAAAGTTTCATGTCAACAAATAGTCGGATAGAAACTGATGCGCTTTGGGAGATATCAAATGTTCAATATATATTTGGATGGGATCTTAGATATATTTTGAAGTAGGTAGGCACACGTTGAACCTTTTTATATCTGTCAAAAACACATAGAATACGATGTATCATGTCAATGTATCTATGATTTGGTAGCTCAACATACAACAGCGTCTTATTATGAAAAGGTGTAACAATATTTCTCAAATTTGATGGCGAAAATGATGGGGGAGTTCTGACTTTTTTGCTTTGTACCGGCAGAGCGACCCAAATATATATATTTATTTACATTTTTTGTATAGGTACATTGCATGCGCACAAATGCGGGCGTGGCGTGGGCATGTTTTTATTGGTGTTAGAAGGCAAGGTGCTGCTCGTGAGTGGCAAGTTGGCCGCATATTATGGCCCCAGGTATGTACTGTACAATATCGCCGATTTTTGTTTTCCAATATGTTCTATATAATATACACGATATCGTTTGGACTACAGTGGTGTTGGATATTGAAGTCACAAGATCGACACGGAATAATATATGTTTGAATATAATGTTTGATGTGGTAGTTTATATGTGGACGCGCACGGCGAAGGGTTTGGCGAGTCGCATTCGACGGTGACGTTCCGAGGTCGACCGCTGTTTCTGCAGAGCCACACGAGGGACGCGCTGCTGCGACTATGGGCGACCCAAGGGATCCCTTTAGCTATTGTCCAAGCTCAAAACATGGCCACCCATGTCGTGCCCAACAGTCATTATTGAATACTATTATAGTAATAAACGATGGGGGGGATTTTAATAATAATAGTAACAACCGAGGGGGGATAATTTTTAATAATAATAAACGAAGGGGGGGTTGGGGGGTATTGTACAAGCCAGAATAGTGTAGCCATCATGGACGTAGTGCTAGGTGTGATGTTTGCAACGCTGAGCGTAATATTTTTAGTATCGACGGGTGGTCCAGTTCGTAGGTATAGGCTGCCACACACACGAATCACATTACTCGATAAAACAATACAATTACAGTAACGTTCCAATGTTCGGCCGCATGAAGGTCCTCGATAGTATGCCAATCGCCGTTCGACTTGACACGTTTGCGCGCAACCGGCTTCGCAGCTAAGAACAAGGATGTCTTCACGTACCCCTTGTCTTGATCTATGATTTCGTCCCAACGGCGTCCTTGATTCCATTCTTTGCTTTCTGCATGCCCATGCAAGACAACCAGAGTATGGGACAATTTATTTTTTTAGCAATTTTCCCGAGTAAACACAATTAACTATTGTATTGCAGCGCATGGCCAATACAATTGTTGTATTGCTTGCTGCATTTAAATATTTAATTGTCTAATTGTCATTTATCTAAATGAACATTATATGTGATACCAATGATAAGAAAATAATATTGTTGGCTCAAATAAAAGTATTTTGGATCTCGCAAGAATCAATTATTGTAATTGTCCAGCGCTTTGCAATAAAATATTTTCATTATTTAATTGTCAATTACTTTTTTCATGAATTATTTTTACCCATACCGGTACCCTGAAGACAACAGCAAGGCAACGACATCGGCTACACATCACAGGGACGAAATCCATTTTGCACCAATGTGGGGGTGTTAGAGCAACTCCACCGCGGCGATAGTATATTTGGCACTAAAATTAATCTTCGGGTTTCCCGGATAGCAGTTGTATCCATTTCGGATAAATGTACGTTATCCGGGAAATTTGGTGTGCAGAGTTGATGAAATTGCAGAGGTTGATGGCGGTCAGTTTGCATTTAAAATTGTCGCGATTTGTTGTAGCCAATCATATGTCAGTATTTTTGTTCCAATGTTTTGATTGGTAATTAATGACCATGTGTACTACGAAAACTGCGCCACGCTATTCAACTATTCAACGTCGTTCCCTGTACCGGTACATGTGAAATAAAAGACTGCATTTCTTACTCAAAATACATATGGTGCAAGTCAGCTAAAGACTACAACTTGGCCAATTTCGTCGTATAAATTTTCACGAGTATTTTTACGCGGTAGAAACTTCCAAAATCGATGTCCACGCAGGGATTGGCTAAGTGTAAAGTCATTTTAGTTTCGAAACTCCGTTTGAAAAACATGAAATCGTCGTTTCTGAAGACCACAGAACGTTTCAGGCCAAGGGAACGTGAATTTCGACGAGTCCGATTTGCATACAAAATGCAAAAACTTAAGACTACATTACGAAATCCAACTCGATCGCTACGGTTACGACTTGTGGGATGCGTCGGTCGCTCTTGTACTGCTTGTGGGGGTACGTGGACATGTTGTAGTCAAGGCCGTAGCTGTAGGCTTGGATGAGGTGTGAACACCGACGGAAGAATTTCCGAATCGAGACCAGGGAAACACTTTCAAGGCTTCGAGGAACGCATTGAACGAGCCCATTTAACGATTAGTCGGAGTTGGATCGTGCCTGTCGCTTTGCCGCACCCCAATACGACTCGATGGAGTTGAGTGTCGCAGTGGCACTTGGGGAAGAACAAGCACACATGACCAGCAGCCACAATCGAAAGTCAGCATGAGATGCAAGGCAGTGTCGAGCACAACATCGTAGCAGCTCAGGGAAGGGTGGCATCGACACGACATTACCGTACGTCATTAGCATGGCATTATCCCATGCTGCGCGTTCAATCAACACACTGTTGACTCCTTTTGTGAGCCCACGCAAAGACTGGTGAGGATGCTTGCCCCCCGGATTGAGATTCATGCTGGATGTTCGGAGAGCATCGGCAGCGTAAGCTGCGTGGTTGGTTGATTAGTCAAACGTGAATAACGCGGTGCATCCGGTGTGCAAAGCCGCAAACGCAGGAAGAACCCTTGATCACATGCTAACTGGTCCAGTAGCCCTCCTGCGCCTTGCAAACATGCAGATCCTCTGTGAAAAGCAATTGTTCAGAGTCTCGCAGTATAAAGAGGCGGACATGATATGGGCAAAGAAAGTCAGACACCATAATTGAGCGCCAACGTCCCTATTTGGGGAGATCTGGGTGGGCCATATTCGTCCAAGCCATTCCCCCATCGTCGTTGGCGTAGAAGATGGATTCGTCGTGAGTCCTTCACACAACCTGCTCCTGTGAGACGTCATTCGGAGACTGCAATATGTCGATGGCGTCCTCCGACAATGACGCCATCCGCTCGCTAAGACTCACCCATGAAAATCCTTTCGGTATTACACAACATTTTGCCGCTCATGGCCATCGACATAAACATCCTTCTTCCACGAGCCGAGCTTGTACCCGGCATGTACCATCCTTTGCCGAGCAGTGGCTTCTGACACAGCAAAATTTCATCGCACCTTCAAAATTTAATATTATTGTGAAGTAGAACATACTTTGGGAATAACTTTCGCATTACCTAGGGGAGGATAGATTCATTGAGGTGTAATCGAAAGTTGTGAGGAGTGCGCATTGAAGACCGAGTTAACCGCAACCATTGCCCACACTTACTCCAGAAATCCTCGTCATGATTTAGGGACGGCGTCTTCTGGTGCCGACCTCGTCTAGTGCCCGGAAGACAACCAAAGCGTTGATATGACTGACACCAATTCAACACCGTGCAGTACGGTTGCCGCAGCAGCACAAGCGCCACGTCGAGTTGAGCCAGTCAAATCACACTCAAAGAACTTTGCAAGCACAACCAATTGGACAAACACAGGGGTGGCTGTCTTCTTGGTCCACCAAACGTTCGTTGAACAAATCAAAACAATGCTGGTCCGAGCGGATAATGGAGACGGTTGGAGAGGATGCTGGAAGGGCTAAAGTGGATTCGTCAGGAAGCATTGGATGGGCAACAGGGTTTAGCCAAGTGTCTAAAGAGGACATTGGACACGCCTTGAGAGTTTTTGCGTTTAGCGCAGTCTTGCGTCGTTTGCTGCGTGAACTAGTTTCATCGTAATAGGATCGCCGTGTGGTCCGAAGTCTTTGAACAAGTTCACCCATTCCTTGACTGGCAAGTAGTTTGGTCCAAATGTCGGGATTGAAGTACAATGGTTCCTCTGATGTCGTGTCGTCACATGCAGATTCTCCTTCAAGCACTGGAACCTCTCCGTGTTGTTGGTCAGCAGCTCTTGCAGCCTGTTGGCGCTTGGACCGGCGACCCATGTGAGGAGTGGTGCATCCGGATAATCATATCAAAGGTCCATCCGGTTACGTTATATACAAATATCAAGTACGAGGGACAAGCACCCCTTATGCCAAAATCTGGTAGGTCCCATGTATTTCCGTTTATGGGGTGCCGTCACGGCAAATCCTATTTCTCCACCATTTTTGCGATTCAGGAAAATCTACGCCGTAACATTTCTTCCGTAGACGCCCCTCTATGGATCTTATGGCTTTGAATGCGTGGTTTCCATAAATCCTAGACGTAGTAGTCACTAAGAACGACCCCATATTTTTGTAGTCTTTAGCTGACTTGCACCATACCAGTATTATGGAGTGTCGGTAGTGTTGATTAACGTATTGTGGGTTCTACTCGAAATTTCCATGTTCGATTGGTTGAATCGAACAGTGTGGCGGTTTCACAACCGATTAAAACCTCTGTAATAGTATGATTTATAGATATATAGAGGTTCCTTTGCGCGCGAGAAGGTACTTGTCCGTCGAAGCGAACGCTGACGCCACCATCATCACCGATATCGGTAGGCTCCCGTCTTGCTCAACGCGACTGTGTTATCCTCGGACTTGCTTACAGTAACTGTGAGGTTATGTACATGTAGACTTGAGTAACTAAGTGTTTCATGAGAACATGAGACTTAGTACGTACATGTTGCATGAGAACCCGAGACTATAGACGAATAAGGCAGTGGTAATCTGTGTCGGCGATCACGCTGTCGTGTCGTTCAGTTCCTGCTGTTCATTTCCCAGACTCAGGGAAATACTGTTTGATTGGCTGAATTAGGTTATTTTTGGCGAATCAAATCGTAAGTTCGATAAAATTTCACCCGAATTCACAATACTTCCAGCACGCACGATGATGTATTGTGAGAAGTCGAGGTGGACCAGCCCAGCCAACCGCCCCGTTGAATCCAAACATATTTGAGAGCCACGCTTAGGAATCATCATTAATACATTAATATTATAATATATTGCAATAGGTACAATTGATATATTGCTTGTATGAACAATCCAATATAATATAGTTATTATTATCAGGCTACAACAACCCGTATATTGCCTGTATTGAAATCACCAATACAATATACCAAAAATATTATCAATGCCAAATACGTATTCTAAACATAGTGTGAAGTCATTGCCAAATTCGTACTGGAAGTACAGTTACACAAACAATTGGGACTCTGTCGAGAAGGGGCACTTCGGCCGTTCTTGCTTTTGCCTTTTTCGCCGTGGTTGGGTCCCTTACGGATAATATCCGGTCATCCCGAATTATCCAGCTGCCCAGTCATAGGTCAGCTAAGAAGTCCATTAATGATCACTTTTGGTTTTGTTGTCGACCACTCAAGCGTTCCTCGTCGTCGTCCCTTCTCAGTGCTACCTCTTTTCTCATGCCTCTAGACAGGTTATGAGCCTCCTCCCATCATCTATGCAGCCCTTTGTGGGCATTTCTCCTCGACAACAACCTCCGGCCTCTGGCTTACACGCTCTCGAAGACGGACTTCTTGTCCCAAGCGACGTCCCGCGATCTTGCTTAGTTTGCTCTACTCTACGCAGGACTATGTCCCTCAAGGCAACCGCATTGATGCTCTCAACATATTGCAATACGTACAATTGATATATTGCTTATTTGAACAATCCAATATAATATAGTTATTATTATCAGGCTACAACAACCCGTATATTGCCTGTATTGAAATCACCAATACAATATACCAAAAATATTATCAATGCCAAATACGTATTCTAAACATAGTGTGAAGTCATTGCCAAATTCGTACTGGAAGTACAGTTACACAAACAATTGGGACTCTGTCGAGAAGGGGCACTTCGGCCGTTCTTGCTTTTGCCTTTTTCGCCGTGGTTCGGTCCCTTACGGATAATATCCGGTCATCCCGAATTATCCAGCTGCCCAGTCATAGGTCAGCTAAGAAGTCCATTAATGATCACTTTTGGTTTTGTTGTCGACCACTCAAGCGTTCCTCGTCGTCGTCCCTTCTCAGTGCTACCTCTTTTCTCACGCCTCTAGACAGGTTATGAGCCTCCTCCCATCATCTATGCAGCCCTTTGTGGGCATTTCTCCTCGACAACCTCCGGCCTCTGGCTTACACGCTCTCGAAGACGGACTTCTTGTCCCAAGCGACGTCCCGCGATCTTGCTTAGTTTGCTCTACTCTACGCAGGACTATGCCCCCCAAGTCAACGGCAATGATGCTCTCAACCTCAGTAAGCTGTACATCGAGCTCGATCAAGTCGAACACTGCAAACCCTACGTCGTGGATCCTACTCTGTCGGAGACCGATCGTGATGCGCGTTTCAAAGAAATAAAGGCGCACACGACCGCCATTCAACGCGAGTTCATTAACAGCTAGGCAACCAAGAAAGTTGCGAATCAACGCTCTTGCGGAGGAGAGTTGTATCGACATTCTGTCCGTGCAACTCATTGACCTCGTCAAACTCTACTGTGTGTATATGACTCCGCCTTCCTTCAATTCTCTGGATCTGTCTGCGGTTTCATCCGTCGACGACTAAAACTGTATTTGGAACTGCTACATTCTGTCTGCGATGTCCGACACCTCTATTGGTGACAAGGAATTATGTAAGTCGTGACCAACTCCACTGTTACTGTATGCACCGCCAAGCAATCCATCGTTTGATTCTCACGTCCGTAACTCTTTTCGGCTTATTATTACGAACTGCCACAACGAGCGTCTGCTCTGTGTGACCACGGCTTTACTGCTGTCATTCAAACACGAGCCCAACTTGCAGCTGTCACGCATGCCGTTGTAGCCCCAGCGCCCACACCCCAAACGATTACGCAAGCCGATTACGCTTTTACTATCCCGAGCTATGCTCACGCGGTGTTGCTAATCACACGCTTCCTGCTTGCCCTACCCGCAATCCCGCAACACTATACGTCATGGTTTTAACCGTAGCTCACCAACGCTGCATTAGAAGCAGGACTTGCCGTACTTGATCGAGCTCAAGAAACATCTTGCTGATGTTGAGAGCATCAATGCGGTTGCCTTGAGGGACATAGTCTTGCGTAGAGTAGAGCAAACTAAGCAAGATCGCGGGACGTCGCTTGGGACAAGAAGTCCGTCTTCGAGAGCGTGTAAGCCAGAGGCCGGAGGTTGTCGAGGAGAAATGCCCACAAAGGGCTGCATAGATGATGGGAGGAGGCTCATAACCTGTCTAGAGGCATGAGAAAAGAGGTAGCACTGAGAAGGGACGACGACGAGGAACGCTTGAGTGGTCGACAACAAAACCAAAAGTGATCATTAACGGACTGCTTAGCTGACCTATGATTGGGCAGGCTTCTACAGAAACATAGGACCAGGTAATTCCGGATGACCATATTTTATCCGTAAGGGACCGAGAAAGGCCAAAATGCCCTTCTTGGGGTTTGTGTACAATTCACCCCCCTAAAAGTGAAAAATGTTTCAATTTCGTCACTAAAAATATCTCAAGTTGCAAAACAGTCACGTATTTTGGACTACGAATAATTTAACAAACTTGTTACTAAATCGTCTTTCAAGTCATGAAGCAGACAGACTACGTGTGTCCCCGCTGCAAAGCTTGCGTGTCATCTAAGAACGCGGCGCGACATTCCCGCTCGTCCCACTGTGTCACAGAGGAGCAGGCGGAGACACAGGCATTGGCGCTCCTCAAAGCGCGGCGTCAACGGGACCGCGAAAGGAAGGCCGCTGCCCGAGTAAAGACATCACCAACTATCTGTCCTATATGCCTAGAGTCTGCGAATCATCCAACACGCCCAACGGCATCTGTGCATGTGTGCTGCAAGGATTGTGTTGACGCGCAAGATGTCCGCAATGTCGCACTGTAGTGCGATTCCCTTAGGAAGTACATATTGTGAACTTACTATTAGTATTAATACTACTTAATTGAGAGGAAATAGTACATCGCAGGTCGAGAAATAGTAAGTAACTTACTTCGCACCTAGTACCTACTGCGTTAATAGTTCATTAGCGAACCATAATATCTACTAAATAAATCTTCATACATACTATCAACTAACTACTTTCCGCGGACATCGAAGCCCTCATTTTCCGCAGACATCGAAGCCCTTACTTTCCTCGGACATTGACTGGAGTAGTTTGTCCCAAAGAGCATAACACATGCATATGAATACGTGTTAATGTACTTAGATGTCGATATCGAACATGTTGCTA